AACACTTTCCCAGGTTTCTAGTGAAAAAGAAAATCTAGCTATCCACATTTGGCTGATGTAGACTCTCCAGAATAAATTCACTTATTATTTAGCCAAATAAAATCGTGTATCAGTTCTGTTTATCAGCAGTTTTATTTTCTGGGTAAAGCATGCCAATGATAGCGTCCCCCAAATACACATGATACACCCCCACACACACTTAACGCTGGGAAATATAATTTATAGTCAGTTTGTTAGGAAAGTTGAAAAATGAACCTGAAAAGAATAGTACACACACACAAAAAAATCCCTGCTTTTAAATGCATTTTTAATCAAATTCCAAGTGATAGCCTCAATTACAGTTACTTTAGAGAAAAGGCATCAGTGGTAAGAAATGCTTGGATTATACTGTGTTCTTCAGATATTAAAAAAAATAAAACTAATTTAGTTTGAGCATCTACTCTAGCACCCTGAGTTAAATATATATGGATAACACATAGATTTATGGATTAATTTATCAAGCAGTCTATGTGGAAAGGAGCAAGCATGTTTTAGCTTAATACATTTTCTGATGCATCTAAGTAAAAAAAATTAATCATTATGGATTTTGCAAAGTGCATCTTTCTTTATCTCTAATGAGAAAGTGAAACAAGAGACTGCATCCCTAGAGATTCTCATAATTTGCAAAGAATATCCTTCTCTGAAGTGTTTACCCCTAAAGGGTCAGCCTGTGCATTTAGTCATTACAGGGAGAATGTCTTGGCCCCTTATGACCACTCATCATTTTTCTGATTAATGCATCAAAAGAGAAGGGGGGGAAGGTTACAAAAAAAACTTTGTTAGGGGCTCCCCATTCCCTACTGTGTTCCTGGGTCACATGAAAGGGCACTGCTACGTAAGGGCAAAAAGAAGTAAATTTAACATGAAGCCCACAAGTGTCATCACCATCTTGTGTCATCGCCAGCTGGTTAGTTAGGGGAAAGAATAAGAGGAGAGAATAAAACTAGGCTTTCATGGGATGGGGAATATAAGGCTCCTAGAAGTCCATAAAGAGAATAAATCTGGCTATTAGCATAGCGTCCAGGTCAGCGCAAGCACAGATGTGGCCTAAGCATCCTACACCAACAATAAATGCTGTCAAGAAAATTATGATGAAATAAACATAATTAATACAAATCAATGAGTGGTGACATATCATTATTGTAAGTTATATTTTTAGTGGTCAGGCACAATGCTTAACAAGAAACCACAATGCCATCTCTAAGCTATTGGTATTTATCTCTAATTTAACTCAAGCTGCATCCCTACCAGTAGAAAAGTAAACCACTCGATTAAGAACCCCTTTTCAGGGACTTGCCTGGTGGCGTAGTGGTTAAGAATCCACCTGCCAATGCAAGGGACACGGGTTAGAGCCCTGGTCCGGGAAGATCCCACATGCCGTGGAGCACTGAAGCCCGTGCACCACAACTACTGAGCCTGCGCTCTAGAGCCCATGCGCCACAACTACTGAGCTCGTGTGCCACAACTACTGAAGCTCGAGCACCTACAGCCCATGCTCCACAAGAAGAGAAGCCACCGCAATGAGAAGCCCACACACTGCAATGAAGAGTAGCCCCCGCTTGCTGCTAGAGAAAGCCCACGTGCAGCAACGAAGACCCAATGCAGCCAAAAATAAATAAATAAATAAATTTTTATTTAAAAAAAAATACATCATTTAAAAAAAAAGAAACCTTTTCAAGAGAAAAAAGGTATTTAATTACGATCTTGGGACACCTGGGTTATAATCCCAAATGCTGAAGGAAAGGATTAATTAAATCTCGTTATTAACTCAATTTGTACTCTTCTCATTTTACTTGATTTCCTCCCCTTTCCTGTTAGTCTCCACATGTTGCCAAAACGATGCAGAATCCCTGGGGTTTACAATTCTTCGTTCTCTGTAAAATAAGGGGATTTTTTTTTTCCTGCAGAGATAGGTAAGGTATCAAGAAAGAAGGACAGGTAACCAGGAAGTTATAAGCTATTTTACCTTGCCTATCATTGAGAAAAATCATCTCAATTTGTCATGGTACTGGTACCCTTATTTGTAAAAGTCCACTTTATAATCTTTGTCTTTCTCTGAAATACTTTAAGTGAATTACTTAACAATTTCAGAACTGGGATATATTATATAGATACATATATAGATAGATATGTATTTTCTTTATTTTTTTTCTTTTTTTTTTTTTTTTTGGTACGCGGGCCTCTCACTGTTGTGGCCCCTCCAATTGCAGAGCACAGGCTCCGGACGCGCAGACTCAGCGGCCATGGCTCACGGGCCCAGCCGCTCCGTGGCATGTGGGATCTTCCCGGACCGGGGCACGAACCTGTGTCCCCTGCATCGGCAGGCGGACTCTCAACCACTGCGCCGCCAGGGAAGCCCGATATGTATTTTCTTGAGATATAACTTATACCATACAATTCACAACTTAAAGTATACAATTCAATGGTTTTTAGTATATTCACAAAGTTGTGCAATCATCACCACAATCAATTTTAGAACAGAGACATGGCTTCTAAATCCTCTAATTCATTATACAGAGAGAAAACTAACTTCCAGATGGGTTAAGTCACGTTCCCCAGGTCACAGAGCTAGTCAGTGGCAGAGCCAGTCCTGGATCCCTGGGAAGTATTAAGCCATTGACATCATCCAGACTCCCTTTCCCCTGCCTAGGAAAGTTCTTCATGAATTAAAAACTGCTGTGAAAATGTTGTCTGAGAAGAACATCTGGCATTTTTTTTTATTGTGCTCCCTCTTATTATATTATATTAAGCCTGGTCTAATTTCTCCACCAAATCTGTCATATTGCAAGATTTCTGAGAAAGACCCCCAGAACAGATAAAAATGTATCTATTGGGCACTTTGACCACAAAATGAAGCCCAGAGAAAATCTGTGATGTCTTTCTTTTCAGATAAAGTCACAAAGGATTTCAGTTCACACAAAAAAAGGCTAAATTAGACCCTCTGCTCATTTCTTTTTTAATGGGCTGATTATGGGTAGTTAAACTAAATGACCTCATCACTAGCACATTATTTCACCAATGCCAATAACTTCCTGGGATTTCAACCATTCGCTCTGGTTAGTGGTCAGAAGCCAATTTCAATCATCCAAGAGCTGTGTCTTGCTCATCTCTGAGATTTGCTCCCATGAAGTCCATATCCAATAAGAGTATTTTTCAAAAAAGGTTAGTTCCTTGCCAGTGCTAAGTAAGCCAGCAAGTACGCTGACACTGCCCTGACCACAGCTGCACTCGCCTCCAGGCTGCCCACCCCTCAGTACTGAGCTCACAGCAGCACTTGCTGACTCTTCCCACCTTTAAATGCGCCCACCTCTCTAGGTTTCCATGACACTCCTCTCTCCTGGGTTGTACTAGTTCTCTCTCTCCTTCCTGTGCTCTTCCACCCCAAAAGTTTCACTTATTTAATAAATATTTATTGAGTGGTTACTGTTTATCAAGTCCTGGCCTAAACACTGCCCCTAAATGTTGGTGCTCCCTTCAGTCTATGTGCAGCTCACTGTGCATTTTCTCACTTTTATTTGCACTTACATTTTTAAATCTCCATTTAGGCTGGAAATCCCCCCAAACTCTGTAGTTCCAATCTTGGCCTCACCCACTGGCTCCCAGGCCAATGACATCTGAATGTCTCACAAACCTCTCAAAGTGCCCAAACCCCACAGTGAATCCACCATCGCCCTGGTCACCTAATTGGCCCCTCATCCAGGACTCCTTATCACCCCAATAGTACTGTCCACCCCAATAGCACTGTCCACCCAGTGCCCCCAGCTGGAAACTGAGCACCACCCAGTTTCTTCATGGAAGGGATGCAAGTGAGGGAACAGCACTGAGACTGACAGAAGAGAATCCTCCAATTCCAGCTGCATTTCAGGGACCAATTTGTGGAAGAAGCAGGATGAGACCTCATCTGAAATGTGAATTCTGAATGAAATCTGTAGAACAGATCCAGCAGTGCAGGTGTGGGATAGATTTTACAATGTCAGCTCTGCCATAGCTAGAAGAAACTGAAATCTTAGAATACAAATTTGCTTGTCAACAGACACATACATACACACACACACACACACACACACACACACACACACACCCCAACTCCATGCCGCCCTGAGGGTTTTCCTGTTTCCTCCGCTTAGAACTCCTATCCTTTCCACCTACACCCCCTACCACAATTCCTCCTCACACTTAATTCACAAATGACGCGACTCTTCCTCCGGGAAGCTCTCCCTGATGCCCCTACTGTATTATCTGGCATCCCCTGTGCGTGGAGGTGTGTCTAACACTATTTGTTTACGTGTCTGTCTCAGTGTCTCCCCACCAGACTGGCGGCTCTTTGCGAGCAGGAGCCTGGCGCCCAACCCCGGGCCGACACCAGGAAGGCGGTGGGGAGAGGAAGGACTGCTGTGTAGCGTCCCAGCCCGGGAGCCGGACGCAGTCGGGCGGGGTCCATTTCGAGGCGCGCGCTGGGAGCGCTGCGGGACGCGCTGCGGACCCAGCCGAGCGCCAAGTACACAGCATCCCGGGATCCGCCGACGCCCGCGCGGCCGCCCCCAAGCGGCAGGACGTGCCCCGGGGACTCCCAACCAAACGGGAGGGAGGCCCGGCCGGCACCGCACTCTCTGCGCGGGTTCAGTCGAGGCACCAAGCGGAGCCTCCAGGCCTCGTGACGCCCACTCTCTCTCCTGTGCCCGAGACCCCGCGGCCCGCCACCTCTGTGCTCTCCTCCGCAGAACCTCTCAGAATTACGCTGGCTCGGGGTGGAGCTGGGGGCCGGGGGCTGGGAAGGAGGAGGCGCCAAGGAACGGAGGAGAGAGCAGGCGGCCCCTCACTCCACCCCCGCGCCCGCCTAGGCGGGAAGAAATGGAGCCCTAAGAGAGGCCCCTAAGGGCGCCAGAGCCCCAAAGGCTCCGGAGCCTCGAAGGGCCCGCAGCTCCCTAGTCCCCCTCCCTCTCGCCTCTGTGCCTCCCTACCTGGCTGGCTTTGTGGAACTGCTTCTTCAGCCCCGCCACCGACATCTCGACGGCGCCCGGCCGGGGCTGGATGGTCTCTGGGCTCTGCCGGGCCACGCGGCCGCGACACGCTGGGGAAGCGGGCGCCGGGGCCAGTCCCCGCGCGGCTGGGCTCCCCGGGCCAGCCTCCCACGGCCACGGCCACAGCCACAGCCGCTGTCACACTCGCACACACGCGCACACGCTGGTGGCAACACTGCGTTCCAAAGCCCCTGCGCAGCCCATTGGCCAAGCCGCGGCGGTATGCAAATGAGGCCGCTGGGGCCGCCCACGCTTCATTGTTGCGTGGAGACCCGGGAAGACTGGAGCTGCTGGGAAAATGGGCCTGGGAGGCTGGGCGTGGGGATGTCCTGGGGTCCGGAGAGCAGAGCCACACAGGACTGCTTGCTGGGCGTTGGACGGGATGCATCTGGCATTATGATTGCCCTGGATGGGGAGAGAGAGATCACCTTTCTATGCTTCTGGGACTTGGTGCGAAACCTGCTTTTGCTCATAGGCAATATCGCCTCCCTCAGGCGCATTTTCGGTAGGTTTCTGGATTTTAAAAGCGACGCTCCGAAATACGCCTAAGTGGGGAGAAATGGAACGGAACAGAGGACCTGCAGTAGGAGGAATTAGTCTGTGGGCGGCTGGTCTGTCTCTTCTTAACCCCACTCGGTACACTGGGTACAATCTGGTCCTCTAGGAGCCCAAGAGTTATTGGGTAATTTGTTAAATACCGCGCTCGCCTCCATAGAGCGCTGAGCCCACTGTCAACTGTATTAAGAGCAGCTATCTCCAAGGAGCCTTAAACAGCTCGCTCTGTATCCAGGGGAATTCACCGGAGGACGAACCCAGCTCCCTCGGTAACTCCTACCAGTTGTGTCAGTTACAGAGTGTCCTTTTTCAGAGAGACCGGAGCGCCCATGTGCGCGGAGGTCCAGCCAGGGGTCTGGAGCATCCCACTGATCTTCGTGTCACAGCTGTGCCCAACAGGTCAGCATCTAAGCGGAATCTGGCCTCCAAAAGTCCTTAGGGCTCCCGAAAGACCTAGAACCCACTCTTAGCAACGCTTAACACTGAAAGATACAACCCTCTTCCTCCTCCAGTCTTCACCTAAAAGAAAGAAGCTCCTCTCTCTGGACCCTCAACAGATCCCATCTGGGATGACCAAGAGCCCCGGTTTACACCTGTTGCCTGGCGTCCACTCCTGGCATCCTGAATTTCCTAGTGAGGATTGGGCTGGTAACTACATCTCCCTGTGCCTGTTTCCTCACTTTCCTTTTAGAGGGTGCGAACAGGAGCATTCTTCCTCTGATATGGGAGAAAACAATGAACTTAGTGAAGAAGATAAAGGCGGCCATCCAGAGGATTAATTAGTATGACTTGCATGAGTGCTGTGGGCTTGACTGGCCTACAAACAGCTGACATCAGCCACAGATAGGTAACTAGAAGGTATGAGGGTGGTAACAGCTAGGTCCAAATAGCATAGCAAGATGACCTGTCCACACAACAGGCTGAACCCCACCCAACGGCAGGCTGTGCCCCAGGGGAACTGCTACTAAGGCAGGGGTGGCTGGGGGCCAGGCCATCTGGAAGGGGCTCACCTGCCTTCTTTCTCTGTGTCCAAGAGTAGTCTAAGTAGAACAGGTTTGAAGGGACTTCTCCCTAAACGAGTCTGACTGTGCCCTTTGGGAAAGGGGGTGATTTATTTAAAACTTTTTGGCCTTTTTTCCTTGATTGATAGCATATTCCAATTCAGTTAATTCTGGTAATTTATCTCTTCATTTCATCAAGTATAGAATTATAAGTGTATTCTCATCAATTTTTTAATGTCAGAATCGTTCATGTACGTTTTTCCTTCATAAAAGTATTTGTGATTTTTCTTAATTTTTTTCTTTGATAAGACTCAGAGGTTTGCCAATTTTGTTGGTCGTTTAAAACAGTTCTTGGGACTTTCCTGGAGGTTTAGTGGTTTAGACTCTGCGCTTCCACTGCAGGGGGCACAGGTTCCATCCCTGGTCAGGGAACTAAGATCCCGCATGCCACACAGTGCAGCCAAAATAAATAAATAAATAATAAAATTCTTTTTTCATTTCTTGAGTTCATTCATCATTGCTATAGATTTTTTTTCTCTCATTAATTTCTATCTTTATTATACATTCCTTCCTTCTGTTTTGTTCAGGAGACTGAAGTTATTCACAACAGAAACTGATCCTAAGCTGGGAAAGAATGTATTGGAGAAGGATTATCAGGCAGCCCAGAGGTTCAGGGGATGTAGGGAACCAGGTAGGGGGGAATGAGCAGGAACTAGGAATCTGAGTGGTCATCAGATCTCCAGCATGTCCAGGGGCGCTTGTTGGGATGTGCTGGTTCCACCACATGTTCAGGCTGTGGCTACCAGAATGAAGGCTAAGCTGTTTCAGCTTCTTTCAGGCACTCACTCCAGATTCAAAGTTCCAGGGGGCAGCATCTGATGAGCTAAGTCTAGATGTTATGCCCCGGCTCTAGAGTCTAAGACCCACACCATGGTGTATTTCCCCAATATAGGAAGAAGCTTCAGATGCCAGGTAGCCAAAAAAGGTATCTACAAACAACAGCAACACGAATGCCCACGAATGTTTATCTGGGAATTCCTTAATCCTTTCAGTTGAATGTGTTTTATTTATTTTTATACTTTCTTGTTTTATAATCAACACATGTAAAACTATGAATTTTCCTCCTGAGTACAGCTTTGGTTTCACACTTTGTTTTCATTATGTAGTATAGTTCTTCTGATTGTGTTTTAAATAAATTTTTAATTGCAATTATAAAGAGGAAATAACTCTTTGATCCAAATGTTATTCAAGACAATTTTTTAAATCTTTTCTAGGTGGTTTGATTTCTATTATTCATGATATATGAAATTTGAGACTTGTGGTACTATTGTCAAATAACACGTCTTGAAGGTTTTTTTTTTTAACATAGTCTATTATGTTTCATCTTATAAATGTACCACAGAGGTTTGAAATAATGTGTATTCTCAGTTTCTAGGATATAGTTTTTCAGTTCATGGGTAACAGGAGCATGTGTTCTACCAAAGCTCCTAGCTCAGAGGGAGATTTCAAAGATGTGCTAGCTGGAGCCACATTGGCCAGTTCAAGGCTTGCCTTTTACATCACCATCACCCCTCCAGGACCCAAGGGCCCATAGCTCCTCGATCTGTTTAGGGAAAGAGTATACAAATGTCTTGGGCTATCTGACAGAGTTGTCTACATGGTATGAAACCAATGGGAGAGTCCTGAAGCACAAACAAGCATCACCCTAAACTGAAGGATCTTTGGGCACTTGGTGGTCTTCAAGGTAAATGACAAGAGGGATGCTGTGGTTGTCTCTGGCACTCTGGACAGATGACCCATGTGCTGGCAGAGGCTTGGGTGTTCTCCTGTGTTCCTTTCCTTGTAGTCCTTGGCTCTCCCCTCCACTTTCCCTTCCCTGGTCCACAGAGTACTATGCTAGTGTGCACTCACATCTGTGTGTCTTGTGGTCGGGCCAGCTTTTGAATCTAGTATTTGCAGCTCTTGTGTCTGGTCCTGGCATGAGTGTCACATTTCTTAGCGTGGGCAGGAGCAGAAGAGCCTTGGGCCGGGGACTGAGGGGGAGAGAAGCCTACTGATTAATGTCTCTGAATATTATCCCATCATGTATCTCATAAATCAGGTCTTCTGAGCTTATTGTTCAAATGCTCTGTGTCCTGATTTCTTCTACTTCGCTTACCAGAGACTGAGAGAAGTCGTCTACAGTCTCTTGTTACAATTATAATTATGTCTGTTGTGCCTTCATTTGGGAGTTTGCCTTTAAATATTTTAGGGCTGTCATATTTTGCCTGTGTTTGTGACTGCCATATCTTCCTTGTGGATTGGAATTTTATCCATATAAAATAACATATCTGTCCTACAGATATGTTATTTTACTGTTTTACTTTGTCACATGTAATTTTTTTGTATCCCTACATTTTGTTTGTATGTGCTTCATATGTACTAATTGGTCCTTTTCCTCCTGTCTCTTCTTTTTTCCAGCTTTATTGAGATTAATTAACATACGTGTCATATTACATAAGTTTAAGGTGTACTGTGTGATTTGATACACATATATATTGCAAAATGATCACACAGTAAGGTTAGTTAACACCTCCATCACCTCATTTGTCTTTCTTTTTCTTTTTTTTTTTTGGTGACATGAGAACATTTAAGATCTACTCTCTCAGAAACTTTAAGTATACATCCTTTACTTTTGACCTTTCATTTTGTTTGGCATGTGCTCTTATAAAGAGAATAAAATTTAATTTTGTTTGTGGGCCAAAATATGTTTTAAATGTATTTTCCTAGAGAGATTTAAAGCATTCATATTTATTATGAAAAGGATATATTTGGTCCTAGTTTTGTCATTTTATGGCATGTTATCTGGGGTTTTTTTCCCCCCTTCAAATAGCTCCTTCTATCACTAGTATCTATTTGCTTCAAAGTATCTATTTGCTTTTTCTTCCCCTCTACTTTTGTGAGTTATGTACCCAATTTTTACCGACTAGCAGTTATCATTGTTCTATAAAATATTTGAACTTATATTGTCTATCAACATCAATAATTAAACGTTGTAGGGAAGCCATAGCATGATTAGAATGAGCAGCGGCCAGGGCACGTGGACTAGGGCCACCTCGTCACCTCCTTCAACTTAAACCAGATCATGCTCTAGCCCCAGCCAGCTGAAAAGCCTCCAGCAAAGACCAGAGTGGGTCCAGTTTCCTTTGTCTGATACAGAAAAAGAACCAGTTTGAGACTAGGATGCAGGGTGTTGGTTTCAAGCCAGGGAGGCAAAGATGGAGAGAAAACAAACAGAAATTTTGAGATAAAAGAAGAGCGAAATTATTTTAAATTCAAAATAAAAGTTTTCACAAGTATATATTTTCCATGATACAATAACACCTAGAATTTGAAACTATCCAAAAGTAAAAAGGAGGAAATTTTACCTTTGTAATCACCATTGAAACAACTGCTCTTAATATTTTTTTTTTACAGCCTTTTTCCCATGCAAAATTTAAACACAGCAGGGTCATGACTATGCGTACTACTTTATTTTCTTTATTCTCTTAATTACATGAGCATTTTCTACACTGTCTAGTCTTCACACACATTATTTTCATGACAACTTAATAACCAATTATGTAGACATGTCAAATTATATTTGATCATTTTCTATTACTACTCACTTAAAGGATTTTTCCCCCAAATTTTTCATCACTTAAATAACGCTACATTAAACATCTTTTTCCATATTAGGATTTCTTTCTGTATTTA